CATTTATTTAAGATGAATTCAATATATACATCTTTTTCCCACATGCATATTTAACTGGCCTTATAACACCTTTTAGCAAAAAACATTTCTCTACTTCACTGTGTGTGGTTCTTGTCATACCTCAAGTTACCACATGTAGGTATATTTAATAGGCTTATAGGTAATATATGTATACACATATTTTAATATTTGAGACTATCATTTTATATCATAATTATAATTATAATATATATCATAATTATAATTATAATATATTAACTATACTTAGTACTATAGCACTGTACCAAGTTTTTTTTTTGTACCAAGTTTTGATATCTAGTACTAAAAATCTTAAAGTTCTTCACATTCAAGATTATCTTGAGCATATTTAGTTCCTTATATTTTCATGTATGTGTGTGTGTGTGTGTGTGTGTGTGTGTGTGTGTTTGGAATCTACTCATCAATAAAATGTGGCTTGCTGAGGCTTTCATATGAATTATACTGAGTTTACAGACCAATCTGAGTATAACTGGAACCTTTAAAATATTGCAAGTTCTAACTCATGAGCATGGTATAGCCCTACACTCATTTAGCTCTGTAATGACTATCAAACTATTTTACAATTTTCTTTTTTTTAATGTCTCATTGCTATTTGTTTCTCAATAAAATTAATAAAAAATGTATTTAGCACAGGGTCTTACTACTCAGATTGAACTCATAGTGATCATCCTTTTTCAGCCTCCTGAGTGCTGGGATTACAGGAGTGCACCACCACGCCCAATCTCAATTGCTGTCTCAGCACATCCTGGGGCGGGGGATGGGGGGTGCCGATGAAGCACGCTGTGGATTGAACTCCGGCTGCTGCACTCTGCCTAAGCAGGTGCTTTAGTGTGTTGAGCTATCTGGCTGGCCCTGGTTTATAATTTTCAATGTAGGAAACTTGCAACAATTTAGATTTTTAGATTTTATTTTTAACCAACTTGATTAGGCTATTATATGCTATTAGGTGCACACTTTTCTCTTATCTCATCTTCTCTCATTTTATTTTTTGTGGTGTTCAGAATCAAACCAGGGACTCAAGTATGTGAGACAAATGCTCTACCACTGAGCTATATCATGAGCCCCAAGATACACAGATATTAACTGTATACTTCAGGGATTTCAACAAATCTTCTTGCTAGTGGAATCGCTAGCACATCAAGATACTGAACATTTCTTCACCCGAATAAGTTACATTATTCCCCTACACAGTCTCCCTAACTTTTAAGCAATGCAAACACTCATTCGGTCCAATTCATATGGGGGGGGTGAACTGACTTCATTATTCTGTAAGTGTGAATTTTACAACGTGCTTTACAATTAATGGTGACATCTTTTGCTCCACAGTCATGGCCTTCCCCTTCCCCTGATGGCCTGCACATTTGGTGGTTTAGTTATTTATATATCAGCCATAGCTATAAGTTAAGTCTTGTCACTATGGAAAGCAGAACAAAAAGGGAGGAGGAAGGATGCAGGAAGGACAAAACAAAGGCTTCCTCCTCCTTAAAGGAAAATGAAAAGCCAGCGTCTTCAGTGGCTGAACCTAAGTCAGTGGTTCTATGAAGCCCTCCTTCACAGCACAGAGACAATTTCCTTTATTAAATTTTTGCTTAATCTAGAAGTGATATAAATATAATCATGCACAATTCTCTCTTGTTTCATATCTTTCCAAAATTATAGTTCTTGATATTCACCTATGGTAGTGCTTTTACTAGTAGTTTGTTCCTTTTTTATTGTCCAATTGTGTTAAATATATAAAGTCCTAAAATTTTGTTTTACCATTTGCTTATTGATAGTTATGTGGTCATTATCTACTTAGAAGCTATTACCATGAACATTCTTGCACAAATTCTTGCAAAAAAATTACCATGAACATTCTTGCACAAATAATTTCTGTTGGAAATGTTCCTGAATGAAATTTTTAGGAAATATAGCAAGTTTAACCTTTCAAGACACTACCAGGAAGTATTTCAAAGTGATTGAATATGTTACCAGCAAAAAGAAGAATTCTAGTTGTTTCATATTCTCAAAAGTACATGTGAATGTGAGCCTTTTTAAGTTTCAACATTTTAATGAGTTAGTTGGTAATTTGTATGTTTACTTTTTGGGTCATTTTGATTTTCTCATCATTTTAAATTCTTTATTTGCTTTCTTATTTTGAGCTTTAGGAGTTCTTTATACATGTGCTAAATAATATATGTGTATAAATATATGTGTATCTTTGTCAGATACACATATTGTCAGTATTTTCTTTTAGTTTCCCCCTTTTTTTTCTGGGATAAGGCTCACTGTGTTGTCCAGGCTGGCCTTGAACTTTTAGGCTCAAGTGATCCTACTGCCTCCAGGGTGTTGCTGGGACTGTTGGAATGTACCATTGCATCTGACTTTCCATTTCATTTCCTTAGCTATGTTTTTTTTTCCGTATTCTTTCTTTCTTTTTTTTTTTTTTTTTTTTTTGTACTGGGAATGGAACTCAGGACCATGCGCTTGCCAGGCAGGTACTTTACCACTGAGCTGCATCCCCGGCCCTCCTTAGCTATGTTTTGTTTTGTTATTTCTTTTTTCCAGTGGTACAGGGTCCTACACTTGCCAGGCAGGCACTTATGCTGCTGGACTATCTTCTTGGCCCCAGGTATGTTTTTTTTTTTAAAGATAGAATTTTAAATTTTGGTAAGTTGTGTGTGTGTGTGTGTGTGTGTGTGTG